ATAAATGAGGAATGAAAAGATTGTAGCTATGTTAAGAGCTGTAAAAGAATTCCAAACTGAGGGGACAAGTGCAAAGGTCCTGAGGTGGAAAAGATTCTCATTGGTTCTAAAACTTATCATGACACTGAAGTGGCTGCTATTTAGAGAGAGAAGAGTATGGTGCTGATGAGGGGGGTGGTCAGGTGCTGGCCACCCAGGCACTCAGGATGTGGTGAGAGGTTTGAACTTTATTCCAGAAGCAATGGGAAGCCACTGCAGGGTTTAATCAGGTGGGAGATGGGATCTGATTTATGTTGTTGGTTTTTAAATAGACTTTTATTGATTTCAGAGAGGGAGAGAGAGATAGAAACATCAATGATGAGAATCATGAATTGGCTGCCTCCCCCATGTCCCTTATTGGGGATCAAGCCCGCAACCCGATCATGTGCCCTTGACTGGATCAAACCCAGAACCCTTTGGTCCGCAGGCCGAAGACACTCTATCCACTAAGGCAAACCGGCTAGGGCTGATTTATGTTTTTAAATGACTCCTTGGGCTGCTATGTGGAGCCTGGAGTGGCAGTGAGGATAGGGGTAGTAGGTGCAGAGGGAACCTGAAGGGGGCTACTACTGCCATCTGGGTGAGGGATGGAGATGCTTGTGCTTGGGGGGTGGTGACTGAAGTGGAGAAGTGGGAAATCAGGGATATCTGGAGGGGATCCCAGGTGCCTGCCAGGTCTCTGTCTTCACCTGTCGGACAAGCATGCCTTAGGAATTTGCTTAGCAGACCCTCCTCCTGTGCTAGCTTTGCCCAGGACACTCCCAGCTGGGTCTTTTGAGACAGCACTGTCCAGCCAGAAGGGAATCTTCTCCACTCGGCCAGGCGCTCCCAGAGGCGGAGGCTGGTTCTGGCCCATCTAGGTGCCCAGCCTAATGCCAGCCTCCCTTCTAACAGGCTTCACTCCAACCAGAGCTGGTGATCGACCATCAGTAACCCTCCCCAACAAGGCCCTGCTGCTCTCTCTGCGGGGTGTGGAGGGCTGAGTGGGTGCATCTCTGCAGAGCTCCTCTGGATAGGCTGGCCATGTGTCAGCAGCACTTCCTTCCTATGCTCGTCTTGCTCACACCCTCACCTCCTGCTCCCTGGGGATTTGTCTGCACAGCCCCACCTGGACCTCAGACCTTGGAGTCAGGGAATGTGAGCCACCTGGCCAGGAGCCCCAGCATGAGTCCACTGCCTCGCTGGGCTCCTCCACCCAGAAGCTGATGCCTGACTCCCTGGCTTGAGGCACACCCAGGTACCAGGAAGGCTATAGTGCTCAGACAGAGGGAAACAGTCCCTCATCCCTCTGAGAGCCAAGAACCTCAGGTGTATGTTTTTCCCCCTGTACTGAGATGTAATTCATGTACCATGATATTCATTAAAAAGTGTACAATTCAGTGGCTTTTAGTATATTCATATGGTGGTACAACTGTGTCCACTATCTAACTCCAGAACATACTCATCACCCCAAAAAGAAATTCGATTAGAGTCCATCCTCAACCCTCTTCTCCAAGGCCCTGACAACTACTAACTTACTGTCTGTCCCTATGGATTTGCCCATGCTGGACAGTTCATCTGAATAGTAAAAGGCTGCCAAAACCGGTTTGGCTCAGTGGATAGAGTGTCGGTCTGCAGACTGAGGGGTCCCAGGTTTGATTCCTGTCAGGAGCATGTACATTGGTTGCGGGCACATCCCAGTAGGGGTGTGCAGAAGGCAGCTGGTCAATGTTTCTCTCTCATCGATGTTTCTGGGTCTCTATCCCTCTCCCTTCCTCTCTGTAAAAAAAATCAATTATATATATATATATACACACACACACACACACACACACGCACACACATATATATATATATATATATGTATATATATATATATTTATTTAAAAAAAAAAAATAGCAAAAGGCTCATCAGCCTTCCAGGCCACTGGTCCTGTGGAGCCCATGGAAGGGGTCACAGAGCAATGTGGCTTAGTATTTCTTTTGAGATGAGGTACCAGACCACAAGTCCTGTACATTCAAAAGCCAGTGTTTCCTCAGGAATGATGCCTTACTCATCCCAGAAGCCCCTCAAACTCTGGCCCAGGACCCACCCCTGCCTTCCACCCCCATCCCCAGGTCTCAGAGCAGAGGAAATAAAACCAAAGTAAGGAGTGGCTACTGCTCTAGGCCAGTAACTGTGCAAACCCGCATTAGATGCCTGACAAACATCAGCCATGAAATAAACTCTGACCTAATTCCGCTTACCCAAACAGACTCTACAAGACCCCACGTACCCAAGAGAAACTAACTTTGTTTTGGGGGGCGATCCCCCTCTGCCCTGTGGCAATTAAGCGTGAGGTGGTTACTTGGCCCGTTACTCCAGGCTAGGCTCCGGTCTGCCTGTTTTGAGGTACCCAACGTGGTAGCCACATGGACATTCCATCTAGACATGGGCAGAGAAGGTCCCTTGCATGGGTCTCAGAAGTCAAGGGATTGGTCTTGAGCTCCTCGGCACAACGGCTGACCACTTGCACTCTCTCAGAGAGGGCCGGGAGCCTCGTTCTAAAGCCCATGGGCTGGGGCTGGGCAGCCTGTCATCTGCGCCGGGACGGTGGGCTCAGGAAAGCACCGCTTTGGAGAGAGCCTCTAAAGGCAGCTCTTCCTCAGGGCCCTGCAGGGGCTCCTGACCCACTAGAATTGAATATTTTTCTGATTCTAGACATGAACCTTGAGTCACATGATAAACATGCTCCAAAAACATAGGGTTTTTAAAATAAACCATATTTTAAGTGTCCGTACAATTCTTCTGAGTAATGCAATTTGCTTATAAATACTCTTACTGGCTATTTGCTTGTAACTATCAAGTTTTCAGAGAGTGGAAGGGAGCGGGAGAGACAAACATCAACGTGAGAGACACAACTATCGGTTGCCTCCCGCATGTGCCCTTCAAGGGAGCTCCGTGCTATTGACTGGAATCGAACCCAGGACCCTTCAGTCTGTGGGCTGACACTTTATCCTCTGGGTCAAACTGACTAGGACTATCAAGTTTTCTTAAAAGAGGCTCCACTACATTCACATACATCTTCCTTACACAGTGCCACCCCTACTTAGCCCTCACCTCTGTCCTTGCCCACCCCCCCTGAAGCAGCTGGCACCAGGGCACTGAGAGTCAGTGCCAGAGCCTGTCCTCCTCCTGTGTTCCCAGAAACTAGGCAGCGGGAGGCAGCAGCTGAGTGGGGAGGAGAACCGGGGGGTCTGCCCTTATGGGAGAGGGTATGACACAAATACATCTGCTGTATCTTGAGAAGGATCCCGACTTGAAAAAAAAAAATCCAGGCCAGGAGAGTGGTGGTGTACCCCGCCCCCACCCTTAGGCTGGCGTTGGTTGTGGGTCCACCTACTCTTTGACCAATGTGAACTAAAGGACACCAAATGGTCTCATCCTCACACCCCTGCAGAGAACGAGGCCCTCCCTCTCTGGGCACCCTCCCGCCATGAAAGGAACTCAGAAACACTGCTTTTCCTTGCACCATGTGGGATCACAAGAAGCAGGAGGGGAGCCTGCCCTGCTGGGCTTGTTCTCGGGCCCAGGCTTTTTGTCTAGTCGCGGTTATCACAGTGACTCCAGCCCCCTGAGCGTACAAGCAAGCAACTCACCTGCCAGGGGTATGGCAGCGGTGGGTTATGTCAACTTGGCCCCAAAGCGAAGGGCTTGCTCCTTCTAAGGGACCCCAAAAGCATCTTTGTTAAGCATCTGCTCCTGTGGGGTAGAGGTCTCTCAGGAGAGCTGCTGCAGCAGGTGGCAAGGTCAGTGGTCAGCACCTGTCCCCGCTAGACTTGAACGGAAGCAAACATCTAGCGAGAGCCACCCCTGAGCAGAAAAAGAACACTCATCCAACATGTTCCTTCTATAGATGAGAAAATAGGGGTTCAAAGGGCAAGGAACTCACTGCCTGAGTCGGCTCTACAAGGTTTTCCATCCTGGGTTTCTGGAGGGAAGCCTCAGTCTCACCTCCCATTGCCTTCAGCACGAAACCCTTGTCTCCAGATCAGCAAGCCAGGCAGTCACCCTCCTCCCTCTGGGCGACCCCCATCATGGGACCCACCTGCACTGTGCACCCAACATCCGCCAAAGACAGCCCCCCAAGCCTTTCATGTACTCTGGGTGCTCTAACCTCACCCCAGCTTCAGCTACCTGAGGACAATCTGAAACACTAATCTGAATTTTTTTTTTTTAAGTGCAGCTTAACTGCTCCAAAGCACTCAGAACAGGCTCTTCACACTTGAGATCATCTGCTCCAATGGTCAGAAAAGCATGGTTCGTAATGACCATGAACTCTTTTCAAACCACTGGGTATGTAAACACACTTAATTTACAAACTCATCAAACAGGCCCTTTACCAACATTACAGATTTGAAACACCTCAACAAACCTCTCGTGGTGCATTTGAGACCAAGCCAGCTTCACTTTCCACACACAGTGTTTAGGCTCGTTCTGTTGCAAGGTGCACTCCTGCCAGTAAGGGCAGAGCAAGTCGCGATCCACAACCGGGCAATCTGAAGCCCACCAGCTTTCCTGCCAGTTCCTCCCAGCACCAAGGCTTCGGACTTTCCGGGGGGTGGGGGTGGGGGGCGACTAACTATAAAGCTCACAGCTCAGACCACACTATGCACAGGAGTCAGGAGGATGGGTCTCAGCTCAAATTGACTGTGAGTAGATTACACCCCAGCATCACCAAGCACCGGGATAAGGCCTACACCTGCTCGTGAGCAAGCTGGAAAGACAAAAGTCAACAGCGAGCGGGAAGTGGCGTCCCCGAGGCCATCCCTCCTTCCTTCAGCAAAGTTCTCCTCCGGCTCCCATCCTTCTGGGCACGAATGGGAAGAGACCAGAACAGAATCCTCCTGTATCTTGTTGTAAGTGAAAGTCACCTCTTGCCCGTGCCTCACATACCTGGTCCAGGAGGTCGCAGGCTCCCGGCTGGGGTGGGGCCACTTACCAGTGGAGGCTGCGGCTGGGGGTGCTGCCCCGCTCCCGAGGGGGGCGGGTAGTGCATGAGCAGATTGAAGGCGGAGTAGACGGTGTCTTTGTACATGCTGCTGGCGCACTCCGGGGCCTTCAGGCCTGGAAAAACCACAGCTGGGTCAGCCACGCCAGCCCGGGCAGCTAGGGCTGAAGGCTGTCTGCTCTCGAGAGAAAAATAAGAATGGCCAAGGGGGTCCCTTTCAAGTTCGTGAGAAGAAAAGGGATGGAGGTGCCCTTTGCCAAGTTTCTTAGGTCCAGGCCTTCCCTAGACGGCCCCCACGGGACCCCCGCCCCCCCCAGGCGGCCAAGGACCCTTGGCCAGCGCTTGCTCCCCAGGACAGGGGCTTAGGCAGTCACCTGGGCAGCAGGGGAGGCGGAGATGAAGGGGGTCTGTTTACTCATATAAAGGTCAGGGCACCGGAAGTGACTCGAGCCCGGAGGCGCCCGGGAAACCCGCCCCCCACTCTCCCCACCCCCACGGTTTTACCGCCTCCTGGAGCCGCAGTTGGGGAGGGAGGGAGGGGGGAGGGGGCGGCGCCCCCTCGGTTCGCTCCCTCCCTCCCTCTCTCCCTCCCTCCCCGGAGGCCTGGGCCTTGGCGGGGGGAGGGGGGAGGGCAGCCGGGCCGTGCAGAAACTCACCGTCCTCCAGAGATTCTGGAAGTTTGTCGGGGAAAAGTCTCTGCGAAGTGTGTTCCCGCCCGAGAGCCTGCGGGGAAATCCAGAGAGGCCGTGAGGGGCGCGGGAAACGCTGGGGACTCCGGGCCGGGGGCTAGGGGGGCTCTGAGGGATGGGGACCCCCTGGGCCGCGGAAGGGAGGGGCGGGTCCGCTAAAGCCCGAGTCCGGCCGCGGCCGCGCGCGGGGAGGAGCGGGGCGGGGGCCGGCGCTCACCTCGGCCCCGACCTCGGCCTCGCCGCGGGCCCCGGCGCCGGCCCCCGGGACCCCCGCGCCGCCCGCCGCGCCCTCGGACTCATTGACCAGCGACGACTTGAGCTCGGCCAGGTCGCGCTCGGGGCCCGCGGCGCTGTCGCGGCTCTTGTCCTGCTCCTCGCCCTCGTCTTGGAAGGCCAGCAGCTCGTCGGGCGCGCCGAGGTCGTCGCCGCCGCCCGCGCCGCCCCCGCCGGAGTCCAGCTGCGGCATGGTGCGCTCCGCCCGCGGGGCGCCGAGGTGCGGGGCGCGAAGCCGGCCCGGGAGCGGCGAGCCCGAGGTCCGGACCTACGAGCCCGGAGCGCGGCGGGAGGCGCGCGGGCGGACTCGGCCGGGGCGGGCTGGGGGCGCGGGGCGCGGGGCACTGGGCGCGGGCGCCCGGCTCAGCCGCTTCGGGAGCTGGCGGGTCGGAACATCAAAGGCGCCGCCGGCGGAGTGCGGGGGGCGGGGCGGAGCGCCGGGGGCGGGGCCCGGATGGGGGCGGGGCCAAGCCGCCCGGCCCCGCCCCTCCTCTCCCTGGAGAGGCCGGGACGCGCCCAGGGGTATATTCTTAAAGGGCTCGCTCCCCCGGGGTAACCCGAGCGAGGCGCCGGACACCCTGAGAAACTGCGGGGGCTTTAAAGCCGGAGCCAAAGTGTGCACTGTGTCTGTGTCCGGAGCCCAGGGCGTCCTGGGCTTGGGTTCGGGCACGTCCCGGAGCTTGGGGCTGCTCCCAGGCTGTGCTCCCACCCGCACCGGCCGGAACCGGCCTCCTCAAAGCCCACTTTCCAAACCTGAGCCCATGAGGCCGTCCCCCCACGGCCCGAACACAGCATGCGCCCTTCACACGTTCACTGAGTGCCTGGTACATGTGGGACTCCTACGTCACGTCTGTGAGGGCCTCTCGGCCAAGTGGCGGCCCCGAGGCACGAACACAGCAGCGGGACTAGGAGGAAGGACCCCGCTCCCCCCGCCTCCATGGGGAGCCTCCAGCCACACCCTCTCCCTCCCCGGCGTCCCAGCTCAGTCCCAGGCCCTGAACCAGCGGTCGGGGCTGCCAGGCAACTCAGCGCGGGAAGAAGTCTCGCTCCCGCGGAGCCTGCTGACCCGGAGCCCGGCGCACACGGGGCCTCGCACGGCCCAAGCGGTCGGGTCGATCCGCCCGGAGGAGCGCGGGAAGGCGCGCCGGCTGCATCGCCTCTGCTAGTCCACCCGGCCTCCACAGCCCGCTGGCCTCGGCTCAGCCCCCGGGTCTGGGCCCCTGGGAGCCGCGGCGCAGTGAACCGCAGCCACCAGCAGGTTTCTGTGCCGGAGTCAGGGTAGACGGTCCCACCTCTCCCAAGAACAACTGGGAGAGGGCATTTGGAGAGGGAGGAGGGTGCCTTGGACGCTCCTCCGGCTCAGGGCCTTCCAGGACCCCTGGCTGCGGTGCAAAGTCGGGCCGGAAGAGAGCCGCGCCGCCCCTCGGGGTCCGGGCTCAGCCTGGCTGGCTGCGGATCAAAGAGGCGAGGCCGTCCTTCCCCGCGTGCAGATCCTATCTGCGCCCGCCCAGCGGGGCGCCGCGGCCCCTCCACTCTGGGCTGGAGGGCCCTCCTCTCCTCCCTTCCGGAGGAGGGATGGGGTGGGGGTGGGCACTAGTGCTCAGTGTGGCCTTGGAAGGGAGTGGAAGACCCTGCCCAATGGGTGTCTCCCCCCCCCGCCCCCCCCCCCCCGCCCCGTCAGCTTTTCTGGTGTGAGTTGCCGCTCAGTCTCACCTCATCCCCTCTAGGGGAGGGGGAGGGCTCCAGCCAGCCTTGGCCCAGGCTCAGGGGGAGAGTTCAGGAGGAGGGGCCCATGCATGGCCTCCCCCACCTCAACCCCTGAAGATGTAAGGCCTGGCTTTGGGGAGCCTCCCCTGTTCTAGCTCAGTGGGAACAGGACCTGCCTAACCCAAAGGCTTTGAGGGTCTTCCTGCCTTTTCAGGTGAGCCCAGCCTAGCAGGAGCCTCTTCCAGGACAGAGTTCCCAGGTTCATGAAGACACAGGCTCACGTTTTCTCCAGGCCTTAGAGAAAGGGGAGAAGTCAGGTGGCAGTGAGTGAGTTTGTTTTTCTCAAGAGGGCTAAACTTTTTCAGCTTAAAGTATTAGCCTTTAATCAGAGATTATGAACTTTTGTTTTATTGGTGTGAAAACAGCCTTTCTTTACTGAAATGATGGTGAGAACTGATTTTTTTTTTTTTAATGTTCTTATTTGGCAAAAGAAAAACTTGGCAACTCTCTGTTCACGCTCCCACCCCCAAATTTGGGCATTTTATAGGACTCTGAAATCCCCACGTCTGGGAGCCATTGCCCAGTGGAGTCATGGCTCCAACCTCTTGCCCTGCCGGTTGGAACAGGGAGCAGGCAGGTGAGAGGGAAATAGGTGTGAGGAGGGTAAGGAGGGAGAGACAGGCTGACTTCAAGTATCCACATCCACACCGAAATCAGCCTGAAGGCCTAGCCCTAAACTCAGGCTGTGGACCGGGGAGGGGCTCAGGAGACCACCTTAGCAGCTTAAGCAGCTGAGAAATTATTAGAGCCAAGTTCGTCGTCACTGGATTAGTCTGTATGAACCATGAATAGAAGGAGCTCAAATGTGGTGAGATCAGTGGGGCGAGAGTGGTCAGGTTGGCTTCCTGGAGTAGAAAGATTTCATCTGGGCCTGGAGAGAGAGAGGGAAAGGAGCTCAGGCTTGTCCCTAAAAGGCAAGTGCAGCCCTTCCTGGTCTGGTTAGCACTGATCCTGTCGTCATCCACACAGTGACTTCATCGCACGGAGTGATTGCCGTGCACCAGGCTTCCTGTCAGGAGCTTCACACACGTGATCTCACTTACTCCTCATACCAATCCTATGATATAGGGACTATCGTTCTCATTTATGAACGAGGAAACTAAAGCCCAGAGAGGCTGAATAAGACACCCAAGGTCTCACAGCATGGAAGTGAGGCTATCAGAATTCCAAAGCCAGGCGGTCTACCTCCTGTGCCCACACCCCTTTATACCCTCACGCGTGTTCCGTTATGACCTTTACCATTCCTTGGGGTCCTTTTCTGCTCTGTGGTCTTCACAGACAAATGTCAGTGAGCTGCTGCGATTCGAGTTCCTACTTTCTGGCTGACTCATGCCGCCTGGAGGGGCCGCCCAGAGGACTGGGGAATCTCTGTGGCCCGTCTGTGCAGGGGGGCTCCACTGTTTGCTAGGTAAGAGGATCCAGAGCATCTCCTAGAGTCCGAGCAGCCTCCGTCAGCACCATCTCACCCCTGGGCCCATGTAGACTGCCTGCTGTGGACAGGGACTCAGATTCCATAGCGATGGGCCCTGGCTTCTCCCATGAGCAGGAGAGTGAGATCCGCTGCAGCTGCCCCCTGGGTGTGACCAGGCACTCTGCAGGGGGGCCCAGAGCCTTCTGGACTTAAGAAGCCCAGCTCAGAGCCGGAGATTCAACAAGGCTTCATCTTCTTGCAAATAAACCCATGGGCATGTGCTATCCTCAGATGGATGCAGGACGAAGCACTCTCAAGGGTTGAGGGTTAGAGCAAGAGAGCCCTGGTGCTGGGTTTAGCAGACCTGAGATTTTACTCCTGCCCTACCATGTACTAGCGGGGGGGGGGGGGGGGGGGGGAGGCAGGGGGGCACGGACCCCAGGCAAACCCCCGACCCTCTCTGAGCCTCCCCTTTTTTGTGGGCAAAATGGGGTATGACACCAGAACCTGCCTCGCACTGTGGGAGCAAGACTGAGATGAATCATATGTCCTAAGAAAGAACTTAGCACAAAGCCTGGCACATTCCAAGCGCTCTAATAAACGGGTGCTCTTGAGCTTAGAAATTTTTCGGAAGTTGTTAGGCTAATTGGCTCTTCGTGTAACGTCATGTAAGTCATCTGAGCGTTCTCATGGCCTGAGCCCACTTAATCACAGCTAAGGCTGAAAACACACATTTCCTTTCCTTTCAAGTTCCTTTAACATGAAAGGCCCACATGAACTCTGACCTCTGCTAACAGGGAGACCCTTGAAAGGTGAAGTTTCCAGAAAATAATGGCTCAGAGGAGCCCCAGATAGATTTGGTAAATTACAATGGGGAGAGGTTCAGAGTGGCGTCTTGCCCTGCCCACCAGCCAGCCTGGCATCCTGTTGGGGCTTGCCAAACGCTGCCTGGAGGCTGGGCTGCCGGCTTGGGCAGGAACACTTCCCCTCCCGCGGAGCCTTCTCTCTCGGAGCAGAGCCTGGTCACACGTCCTAGAGGCAGACTGTGGTTTGTTACTAGAAGAACAGTGTGCTCCCTGGAGACTCTGTAGTTTCACTGCATGTTTGTGCACGTGTGTCCGTGTGTGTGTGTGTGTGTGTGCGCGCGTGCGCGCACCCGCGCGCGCATGTGGGTGGTTTTGGCCTGAGAATGGCAAAGACACACCATGGCTATGATGCACAGCTCTGGGTCAGGGACCAGGCAGCTGCCCTAGAATGAGGCGAAAACAGTGTGGAGTCATCTCTCCTTGTAATCTTCAGTGGGGTTTCTCCCCTACCACCTCTCCACCCCCAATTGTACAATGGCCAGGAATTGCTCTTAAAATAAAATTTAATAATTAATCTAGATGTGAGCTATTCCTGATGAAACCCCAAGGACATGTGGCCAAATTGGTTTGAGGGTGGGGGTAGTGAGAATGCAGAGAGAGCTGCCCACAGCTTCAGAGGGCTCGTTATGACAATTTCCCATGGGCTAACTTCCCACGGTGCCAGCCACTGTGCCCAATGACTGGGGCTAGGACTGACTGACCAGGAGAAGGAAATAGCCCAGGGTTTCCTGGAGTCAAAGGCACCAAGGTATCAGAACGAAGGCAAGCCAGGAGTGGCTGGCACATGACAAGCACTGCGCCATCAGGCACACGGTCTCCCAAGAGCTTGGTAATGGGAGGCCTGTGTTCTGGTTCCCAAGAGGACCTGTGCCAGGTCCTGCGGTTACTGTCAGCCCCAATGCGTGCCTACGGTCATTAGACTCTGGGAAGTCCTGCCCCAGAGAAATCCTGTCTAGCCTCCTGCAGCCAAGTGTCTCCCAAACTTATTTGGCCATAGAACTATTTTCCTATATATGATTTTCCAAAGAACGTGGCTCTTCTGAATGTCTTTGAGGAATGCTAATGTCCCTGGTTTCAAGAGGCAAGGAGAAACACTCCTTATCCCCACCCCCAAATATTCCAATTTGTGTCCCTGATATGGAGAAAATT